AGTAGTAGTAGTAGTAGTGGTGATGACCTGGAAATCCTTCACCCCGAACTGTGACCATAACCTCAAGAAACAACTTTGCCAATGTGTAGTCTCGTTGTTTTGCAAGCGGATCGCCTGCCTGAGGCTAGAAACTGTTCGTTGGCATGGGTTCATGAAAATGTGAGGGTTGTTGGGCCGATGTGTTTGCGCCTTGGGCCATTGGGGGTCCTGAATTGAACAACTATGTACGCGACGGGGTTCTCGTCAACATTGTTAGTCTACAGTGGAACCTGAGCCGAAGCTTGCAGCTCTAGGCCATGCTTCAAGTCTAGTCATGAGCCTGCTTTCAACGAGAACCAAATTTGAAATCTACCTCGTGGTCGTGAGAATCTGAACCAGGAACTATTCCAATTCCAAGCTCCATAGTTGGACGCTTTTGCATGAGCAAGTCTGCATAATATCCCAAAATGATGCTACAAATTTCGAAGTCGTTTGCGAGCCGTATCTGCCCAGTATAGGCGCCTTAATCCTTAAGATAGGGCTTCGGGGTATGCTACAGTATACTTAGCCACCCTCTGGAACGGTAGTACTGCTTATTCAGGCTTCTCAAGGAATGACCCAGAACTCTGGGTCTCGATGGAAAATCGCATCCAAGCAGCAGCTTTTTAATGCGGACTTCCAGGACGCTGCCTTCTTCCGGAGGGCCACCACCCTCCAAGCCGGGAGGCTGGGAAAGGCTGCGTTGGGTCGCCGGGCGTCCAACAAACTAACCCCTTTGCACTAGACCCTATACACCCGAAGCCACACGATATCCTGAACACGAAACCCGAAGTGGGTGCAGGAGATGTCGTATCAAGAAGGCTGGTGCCCTCGCGGGGCTTTGGCACCGCATCGTTTTTGACGCAGATAACTGGTTTTAAGACACATCGTCACATTGCAGCTTGCTTTCTATAGGGTTTAGAAAAGACGCTCGCAACATTGACTTCTGGAGAAACGTTGCTTCGATCATCCCACCAGAAGAGTCCGACATCCACCACCGCGACGCGATATGCAAGACGAATAGCCAGTGGGGTAGAGTCGGGTAGAGTAAATCTCCACAAAGTTTCAGTGCATCGACCGATGCAGGTAGTGATTGAATTCAACCAGGTTGCTGAAAGTTGCTTTCGGGGTCGGCTGAGCTCGTTTACATGACAACGGTGGCAGCAGATCTAGAAGTATCAAGAGCGCGATTCGGGATTCATGATGGGTTTAGGGCTTCACGGTCGAGCTGCGCGTGTGCAGGCAGGATCATTGACATTTTCGGTACCCGTACAAGGGGCGCATGCTGGATTGTTTAAGACTTCAAAACTCCCTAAACCCTAATCCCCCTAAGCCCTACATCCCCTAAACCCTAATACCCCTAGACTCTACACCCCCTAAACCCTGAAACTCCCTACACCCTACATCCCCTGAACCCTAAAACTTCCTAAACCCTACATCCCCCAAGCCCTACATCCCCTAAACCCTAAACCCCCTAGACGCTACATCCCCTAAACCAAGCCCCTAGACCCTACATCCCCGAAACCCTAATCCCCCTGAGCCCTACATCCCCCAAACGCGAATCCCTCGAGATCCCACATCCCCTAAACCCCAAAACTACGGTTTACGATCCGAGCCCCTGGCAACTTGTGGCAATCACACACCCACACCCACGCGCACAAACTAAGCTATATCTGTCTGTCCGTCTATCTCTGTATCTGTCTTTCTGCCTTTCTGTTTACCTATCTACCTGTCTAACTGTCTATCTGTCCATCTGTCTATCTGTCCATCTGACTATCTGCCTATCTGTCTATCTGTCTTTCTACCCTTCTGCCGTTCTGTCTGCCTATCTACCTGTTGCCTATCTGTCTATCTGTCCTTCTACCCTTCTGCCTTTCTGTCCAACCATCTACCTGTCTACCGGTCAAACTGTCTATGTATCTGTCTTTCTGTCAATCTGTCTATCTGTCCATCTGTGCATCTGTCTTTCTACCTTTCTGCCTTTCTGTCTACCTGTCTGGCTGTCTAACTGCCTATCTGTCTATCCGTCCGTGTGTCCATCTGTCTATCTGATCTATCTGTCCATCTGTCTTTCTGCCTCTCTGCTTTTCGACCTACCTATCTACCAGTCTAACTGTCAAACTGTCTATCTATCTTTATGTCTGTCTGTCTTCTGTCTCTCTGTCTATCTGTCAATCTGTCTCTCTGTCTAACCGTCTATCTGTCTTCCAGTCTATCTGTCTATCTGTCCATCTGTCTTTCTGTCTATCTGTCTATCCGTCTATCTGTCTATCTGTCTAACTGTCTATCTGTCTTTCTGCCTTTTCTGCCTTTCTGTCTACCCGTCTACCAGTCAAAATGTCTAACTGTCCATCTGTCCATCTGTGCATCTGTCTATCTGTCTTTCTGCCTTTCTTCCTTGCTGTCTACTTGTATACCTGTCCATCTGTTCTATCTATCTGTCTGTCGGTCATCTGCCCATCTGTCTATCTCTCTATCTATCTATCCTTATGACATTTACCAATGTATGTACTTTTTTATGATTAAAAGGCTTGCAGGCTGTAGAGTAGGGCTTCAGGATTTGGGGTTGATGAAGTTCAGGCTCTTTGGGTCTAACTAGGGTTTGGGGTTGCCTACAGGATCTAGAAGCACTCGGAGGGAAATTGCAGCATGCCTCCTTCGACGAAGGTTTGGCAGAAGAGGCCACTATTCGCGCAGATCGAGCTGCGCGATGCCTCGCAGGGTTAGAGCTCAAACCTAAATCCTGAACCATAAATCCTGCACCTACGACAAAAGCCGCACAAGCGCTGATAAATGTCCTATCCGCCCGTAGAAGCTCCTAAAAACCCTATAAAATACCATCCGTTCCCAAACCTTCTGGGACAGGTTATAGCATCATTAGGGCCGCTTCAGCCGTTTCGGTGCCCACAGTACGGTTTATAGGCTTTAGGAACTTTTGGAGCTTTGACTTTGTGCTTTAGTCGCAGCTGTCCTAATATGTGTAAAAGTCCAGAGATGCGGTCCATTTCAGGGTCTTGCAAAAGAAGACCATGCTATCTAGCAGCTTTGCGCATTCCGAAACTCCCAGCTGCCAGCCAAATTCAGCTGGCATGGAAGAGTAGGAGTAATTTTTCTACATTAAAAGATACCGGAAGGTTCAGTTCGTTCAATAGGCTCGATGCTGGATCATGCGGACCCCCTTTTCCATACATTCGATAGGGTCGTCTCCTGTTTCCAACACATCAACAATCAAGCGGCCACGCCAGGTCATCTGGTGTAGGAGAACTTCGGTACGCTCTGTACCTTCTGCATAGAAATCATATTTGAGTGCCTTGCTGCAGGCTTTGACTTTGAGCCCGGAAAGGGTTATTCAAATTACAGCAAATTATAGCATTCTGATGTAGATAAACTGTGTTTAGTTTACAAACATATATATATATATGCAAATTGATATATGTATATATATATATATATATGTATACATACATACATACATACATACATACATACATACATGCAAACACACATACATACACATACACATACACATACACATACACGAACACATACACTCATTCACATAGACATAGACATAGACATATGCAGACATAGACATATATATATATATATATGTATATATAGGCAAAACGGGTTAGTTTGGAGGGCTTAGGGTTTAGGCTTCAATGCAACAAAACAGCGTGTGAACCCCGAATCCGAAATCTGGCATATATATGTCAGTGTCACATGTCTATTTATTTTTCATTAAGCCTGCAGTGCCATGTCATATGTCGAAACATGGAACATATATTAAGAAACAACATATATAATCGGATATAGCATAATCATTTCCCCTTGATAGTGAACCCCCCCACAATAGATACTCCGAAAGTGTTTTATCAATTTTTGTTTATGGGGGTATTGTTATCTATACTGGCACTTTTGAGGGGGCGTGCTCTTGCTCCTGATGCTCCCGCGCTGGCTTTTGCTCCTGCTTCTGCTGCGCCTCTTGCCCCTGCTCCTGCTCTTGCTGTTGCTCCCGCTTTAGCTCTTGCTCTTGCTCGCGCTTGCTCGCTCTTGCTTGTGCTTCGGTCTTGCTGCTGCTCTTGCTGATGCTCCCGCTTTGGTTCTTGCTCCTGCTCTTGCTCCTACTGTGCTCTAATGGTATTTGGAACCTCGAAACCCTCCCCCCTAATTCAGAATAGGTTTGAAAGGGCAGGGATGATTCGGGAGGATTGGGCCCAATGTGCTTTTATTATGAACAGGGTGTTTAATACAAAGGAGGAAGCGATTATAAAACAATAACGAACAACTTGACGATACCAGCAATAGCACTAGTGGCAACAAGAATCGCATTGATAGTGCCTGCGACCTCCAGTGATCGCTGCACATGTTGCCAGCAAAGGCCCGTGGCTACAGCTGCATCCTGACAGCGACTACCGAGGCATTAGGGTTTTTTTACTTGCATACGCAGCTGGAACAGGTGGGAATACGGCAATGGTTTTCAAATTAGGGCTTGTTTGCAGAATGTCTTGTACTTCGATTCCCTCAGCAGCCTCTATTCATTAATTTGCTTGCAGGTTCCACTCCAATGTGTCTTCGCGTGTGGCTTGAAGGCGCGAGAGTACAAATACCACCTGGGGTCTTTATTCTATAAGTACACAGGTTTATTTAGTTTTCTTTAGTATCAGTCCCAAACCCTATTCTAACTAAGGCCGCTTTAACTGGAACCTCCCTCGATCACTGGAGCCCGATACACCTTACATCCCCAACCCTGCCCAAAACATCACTGGTCTGCGGAAGGCTCAACTCGAGAGGCCTGTGTAGACCCAATCAACCACAGGCAGGCCCATACTGAAGGCTCAGGAAAGTTTAGGCAGACTACCGAATGTCTCGACCCAATCTGCCCACCTCGGCAGCGTGGTGGCACAGCTGGCGTCTTCCACGTCAGCACGGGCAGTAATTGAGATTTTTGAGGCGGCAGGCACACGGCCATGAAAGTTGAAGGAAGGCTGACAACAACACCCGATGCATTGGAGCCGGTTGGCCGGTACCCGTACAAGATTTGCGTGGGAATGACCTGGAGCCGTGCTACACCGGTTGGACCACATGGCAGCCTGACATACTTGATGACGACACATTTAAAGCTTAAGACACATGACAGGACACAAGACGCTGTGTCGGATGATCTTTGAGCTCAAGCTAGCCGGATATGAACTATTGAACGAACACTCTGAAGGGCAGTAGGTACTGCAGCGTGGGAGTTATTTGGCATGAAATGGTAGCCAAGCTCTATGTTGAAGCCGGTCCCTCGTCGATGGTCCCCTATCCCTCTGAGCAAATGCCTTCGAACAGCACGTCCAGGATCTTGAGAACATCTACCCGTAGGCCCCATACTAGCAGGTAATCCCAAAAAGGAACTACTATGGGGCCTATAGGTAGGCATAAGCCTTGTTGAGCCAACTTCTGTCTAACATGGCCAGAATGGCGATACGTGCATAGCTGGCGCAACACGAAACAATCCGTCCTATATACTCCGATCGGCGCGCGACAGGAGACGGCAGTGTCGAGCCATTTAAAGCTTCACACTATTCATAGCACAGTCAGACTAAAGCGACTCAGGGGTGAATCACGGTAAGGAGGATGCATTGCGATGAAGACAAAGAAGTTCTCGACATTCAATACCACGACAATCATCGGCATCCCCAGCTTCCTTTCGCCTCCCACCACGTCTCCCGAAGCGGGTGCCACAACTCGAAACCTGCATGCGCCTGGGAGGAGCAGGCTCTGGTCAAGTGCCAGAGCTGTCTCCCTCGGGTGCAGCCTGATGTTCGGCCTTTAAACGGCCCAAAATCTGCATCTTTCGCAAAGGTCAAGACTCAAGACTTGTGGCCCTAACTGCTTGCAGCAGAAGGGGCATCATGAGCCCTGACTGCGAAAGAACATGCCTTACGGCTGTTCCATCATTTGAGAGGTTATAAAGAGGAAGTGTACGCACACAGACACACACACACACACCTTTTCGGTGGAGTGCCGACAGGTACTTACAGGCCATGAGTAGCATCTGTACAATAAAAGTCTATGTACTTCCCTGTGCCTGCGGCCTACACGCAGCTGCCTGGGGCGGCAGCTTCATTGCCTGCACCAGTCATGTCCTGTCCCCAAGCTGGGGTTGCTGTGCCGGACGGGTTAGCAACATGAGTCTAACATCATGCTCTGCAGGTCGCGTGTGCCGTCACCTCCAAACAGTGGGCACTTCGCTATACGACTCAGCTTTCAATCAAACCTAGTAGGTGAATGCATGACAAGAGCTTTCAATGCGGTCCGTCGTCTGTCCATCCACGA